ATTATGTGGATTTATATAAGAAAATAAATGATGGAAAGGGTCCACTTTAGTTGATTTCTCTCTCTGCAACCAGATGGCTAGCAAGGAGCAAGTGCATCTAAAGAGTTCTTGATGAGTGGGAGTCTTTAAAACTTCATTTTCAGATTGTTTTATCAACATATAATAAACATCTACCTAAAGAACTCCTGAAAATGTATACAGATCCAACAAATTTGACATTCCTATCTCTCATTTAATCAGATTTTGAAAGAGTCAATTTACTTATTCAAAGTGACTATGCTGATCACTGTAAATTCCTAACAAAACTTGAAGATATTACACTTTCTATGGCAGAATGATAATTTACCCTGATCATAGCCAGAACATTTAATTTACCAACAGAAAATGTTGATTTTGGTTATTCTTTTGGTTATTTTATTTTAATCTCCTATGGCAAGTAAAGCTAATGAAATTTCAATGGAATCTCAAAATATTGTTTATAAAAGATGTCACAAATTCTTAAAAAGTGCATGCAAAGAACTTACACATTCACCAAATAACGCATTAATTAAAAACAATTGACAAGTTTCCACCCAATAAGTGCCTCAGTCAAACTTGTCCTCTATTTTCTGATCTTCCCATACAACTTTCAAATCATCCTAAATTAGATATGATTGAAAGTCAGTGGAGACAACTATTCACCATTGATTGGAATGATCTTTTTCTTTCTAGAATTCTAAATGATGTTTCATTATTTGAGTGCCAAGTTTTTAACATTAAAGATACTCTTGGCAATCCTGCTTTAAAAGATATAGTTGCTTTTCCTTTAAAACTGCACAATTTGCAAACAAATAATACAACTGTAGAAAGGAGAGAGACAGACTTCTTTTTAAGAGTGATTTCTACCAAAACAAACTTCAAAACAGAATGTGTTCAAAACTTCTAGATTCCATACTTTAGATAAAGATATCATTGGGTAAAAAAATAAATTTTTTGTGTTGACTCTGTATCCTCATCACTCGTGCTTACATATAACTGAAATATTTACAAAAAGAAAGAAACGAAGATAACAGATCAAGAAAATGAACAGGATGACAAAGAGCTAATAAATTCAATTTTCTTTTAAATAACTATAAAATAATAAATGTGTATTTTTAAATGAATTTTTCCTTGCGATAAATAGTAGATCAGCCAGGTATGTTATGATAATATGTTCCATAATATACACTGAAGAGCTAAAACATTATGACCACCTACTCAATAACATTTTGCATTAACTTTGACCTGCAAAACAGCTGCAACTCATCTTGGCATGGAAGCCATAAACTCTTGGTAGATGGTTCTTGGTGGATGATTGGAGATAGGTTGTACCAAATGTACCGAACACTGAAATGGTGGTGTTTGAGCTCTGAGCTGCCGCTCCATGACATCTCAAATGTACTCTACTTGATTAAGATCCAGTGAGTCAGGTAGCCAGAACATTAATTTAAAATCATCCTTATGCTCCTTGAACCACTCCAAAAACAATTCAAGCCTTGTCACAATGGGACTTTGTCCTACTGGAAGTTTCCATTATGCCATGTAAGGGTGGAACTGATCAGCAGTTACGTTCAAATAGCCTGCAGCTTTCATAGCCTGTTCTACTTCAAGGGTCTCACAACCACCCATGAGAATGTTCTCCGAAGCATAATACTGCCACCATTAGCCTGTGTATGACCTGCCCCATACAGGGAGGAGTGTTAGCCTGAAAGATTGCATTCCCTGACAAACCATTAATGTGATGAATGAGAAATCGTGATTCACTCAACCAGGCAACTATCTTCCACTTATCCATGGTCCAATCTCGATGTTCTCATGCCCACTATAGGCATAGTTGACAATGACACTTTGTCAACAGAGACACACGAGTGGGATGTATGCTGCACAGTCCCATCCAACAAGTTGAACTGTGTATTCCGAAACACTAGCACTTGAACCTGCATTATATTGGGCTGTCAGGTGGCGATTTTGCTGTACCAAGCTAGACAGTATCCAATGCCTTTCAACACCCCCCCCTTTTTTTTTTTTTTTTTTTTTTTTTGTACTGTGGAGGTCTCTGTACCTTGTGTTGCTGGTTCACCATCATTTCTCACTCTGCCTAATCTAACAATGCAGATCATGAAGACCTAACAATTTGCAGTTTTAGAGATACTCATTCCAAGTCTTCGGGTCATTACATCATATCTCTATTAAATTCATTTAGACCAGCAGCCTAACCCATCACTTGCAAAAGTTAAAGAATGATTCCTTGATTTCTCCAGCAGCAGTTAAATCCCATCATTGAAAGTTGAGTCTTGCAAGTTCAGTGAATAATCTGGGGATGGTCATAATATTTTGGCTCGTCAGTGTATATATTTTATTTCAGTTCAAGTTTCATCAATTTATTAAAAAAAAAAAGAAAAGAAAAGAAAAAATTTATCAAAATTAAAGACAAAAATCAAATAAAGTGGAATAATTTAATTATGAATATTTATTTTTCTACGACTTTAGATAAGATATTTTCAGTGCAGTGGAATACAATTACAGTAAAATCTATCTTTCCAGGCAATGACTTCTTAAGAGTATAACTATTATTAGTTCTATAAAATGATTACCTCTCCAAAAATCAAATTTATCTGAAACCATGAGTATTTGTATCTGAAACCATGAGTGTTTATTATCCCTGCTCTGTAATACATTTCAAATGATATTTGATTACGTTTAAATTGAAATATTTTTATAACTGATACATGCTATCTAAAGCGGGGTTAAAACTGTAGATGGTAAGAAGACATTGTCTGTTTATTACTGGAATAACTATCTTATAGTATCTATAAAATTCCAACATAAAATTACTTACACTAATTTTTTTTCTTATTAAAATCCTGTGAAAAAGTTAAAAATTTCCTGCAAAATTATAATTCACAATTTTTTTTTAAACACTCTGATTGTATTTTTTTCGTGATAGGTAGGCCAATTCTGTATAAGCAATAAAAATAAAAGGAAAAACATTGCAAAGAATGTAAAACAAAATGTTAAGTATCTTAATACCAATATTGATGATATTAGTTTCCACAAATTACGTTTTAAAGTTTTCATCCCATTTCTATAGTAATAATGAATCGAACAAAAGAATTTGTAGCCTGAGCTCCATGTACCGAACACTCATACAGAGAAAGAAAGGAAATTGATTCTCCTGATTATAATAATATTGGTATGAACTACACAACAAAATGACAAAAATCAAAGCAACGCATTTTTCGAAGTAACAACACAAAGAAATTAACAGTGAAAGAACAAGGCTTCCTTAAGTAATCAGAATCTAAAAACTAAACTCAGTGGCGCAAACAGCCCTAATGGACCAAGGTCTACAATGCCCGAAATCTGCTTTCTTGACCGTGGGCCCCAGGGTACGTAAGCATATGCCCTGAACAAGTGGTCAGCTTGTCGCAGGATGCAGGACCCCCAGTGTTTAGTCCCTAAGTGAACTTGGTACTCATTTTATCGACTCAAGTGATGGAAATCAAGGGATGAAAGGCTGAGTCGACCTGTGGTGCTGCTGTGCGTGCACTAGCCTCTGCGCCATCAGGCCTAATCAGAATTTAATAATGTTAAATAAGTCCACCATGCAGAACGGAAATTTTACTGAAAAGGAATCACAATTAAAATGTTCACGATAAAAACAATTTACTAAAAAATTAACTAAACAAAAAAAAAAAATTACATACAAAAGCACTAACAATCTAAAAGTGAGAAATTACTTAAGAATGGATATGCAGAAATTAATTTCATAATATAATGAGAATTAATTAAAAAACAAATTGATATTTAAACAATGGAAAATGAGTACTCAAGTTTTAAAATTTTCACAAAACTAAGGTACATAATTAAAATGACTAAGAATTGAATTATAATCGGTAACTTATGGAATCAATATAAAGTGAATTTGTGATGACTTCAGAGGTCATGTGAACATACGTAACTATGACATCACAAAATCCCATGATCTCTGACACCATCTGTGATTTGCGATGTTGGTTTTTCTTTTGGACTAGTGAAACAATTGGCATATTGATGTGCAACATTTAGTCATACACAAAAATACTTTAAATGATGCAAAAATTCATATTTTGGCATTTTTAAATTTAGAGAAATAGTTTTGTAAAAATTATTAGATATAGTTTTTATCTTTCTGTCCTATTACTTGGGAAATGTAAACAATTAAAAAAATAAATTTTGACTCCATACTAAAAAAAAAATTGATTGAATAAATTTCAGATAAATCAATGCAAACGTATAATTAATTAATTTATTATAATTTTTATTTGGTATACAAAAAATTAACTTCAGTAAATTATCAAAGTCTTAAACTACATTATTAAAATTCTCATAAGTTTTTGTATCAACGAAAAGTATATTTACCTACAATATTTTTGTAATGCAAATAATTAGGCGTTGGCTAATGTAACATTGAAATTGGCTAAGTTTTAGAATCCAATTCTATAAGATTCCATGAATAAAATAGTACTATTTGGAAAAATTATATCATCATACTTGACAAATTGAACAGAAAAATTACATTTAATTCTTAGAATCAAAAACCTTTTGTAAACTTATATTTTATTTAGTTATGTAAGAATGCAAAATTTGATCTTATTTGTTAGGCCCTGAATATGATAATTTAATATCACATAGTTTATCAGTTTTGTTTATAGAATTCACTTTCATTCACATTTTATAACAAGTACAAAATTCAAATCTAAGTAAAATAGGAATCATAAATATAAGTATAGGAAATGAAGGAACTTGCAAAATTTAAATTTACTAAGTTTTACTAAACTGGATTTCTTTAAATTTAAAAATGCCAAAACTTGAATATTCACATCATTTAATCCTTTTTGTAATTGGAAGTGCATGATTATGACTAACAGTTGCAAAAATAAAGGTTGAGTAATGACTTTTGCAGACATGGTGTATGTAAGATATACTCAAGTTCTACTAACCTGTTAAATGGTACATGTGCGATGTAATAAGCACAGATGACAAGTGAAATGAGGCTCAGTACACACGCCGATAACCAACACCTGTGGATCGCTGGACGGGGAGAGAAGCAGCATTTTTGTACAAGAATGGAAAATAAACCTTTCACTTCCAACACCATGCCTGAAAAATCCAGATTATTGACAACCTGGTTGCAGGGGGAATGCTAAACACTTCGAAACTGTCCTCGAAGCACAAGAGGATATTGAAAATGCATTCCGTCTTTTTTTGCAAGAAATGAGAAGCTTAAGTTTTATCCAAAATTCTGCTTTTGTTCTTGGTTTGCAATTTAGGCAAGTTGAAAAGTGCCACGGAAAAATCCAATACAGCACAAAGATTTTCCATGGCTCAGTTGGCCTTCTGCTCATAGTTCCTCAAAAACTCCATCCAGTACATATTCAGGACACAAGAATATTGAGACTGCAAAAAATAATTATACTTTATTAGCTGTTCGAAAAGGCAACAACTGCATGTATTATATTACGTATAATATGTAAAATCTATTGTAAAGATAGACATGATAATTAAAATCTAATTTTACAAAAATGATCAACATATGGGAAGGATAGATTTATGATTAGCTACCTCTAGGCTAAAACCATTCTGTCACTATTAAACTATAATTATTTTCTGTTTTATTTATTTATTTCTTGCAAAAACTTACATAAAAAGAGAAAACACAAATATAAAATACAAGAAAACTACAACTCAGTTTACAAAATGATTTTTGACAATTAATATGAATATTATTATTTACTAAGAAAAATTGGAATGATAAAAACAGAATATACTTATTCATTTTAAAATGCTTACCTCATATTTCCCCTTCCATAATTGTTTTAATTATATCATTAAAATAAATATTATTGAATATGTCCCATTCTATAATCGAAATTCCTGAACTGTTTAACTCGCTTCAGACACTGTTAATCATAAGTTATCTTTCATTCAGCAAAGGCAAGAAACTAATGTTCAAACATGCAATTTATAACAAACGTATTTTTGAAAATTCTTATATTAAAGGTTGGGTAAACTGTTTTTTTGTAAAGAGTTACACAGATATTACGGATAAACTCATGTTTTCATCATGACTTAAATATTTTCACAAATGAATTCTTCTTTAATTATACTTTATTCAATGTCTTCAATAAAATTCCTACAAAAAATTTATGCTCAATTTTTCTTAATCATATCTGATACCTTATAAAAACTCTTTTTCCAAAACCATATTAAACTTAACAAGTACCATCTCTTTAAGGTGAGAAATTATCAATGAGTATTTTATGGTTATATCCACAAATCACATGCAATAACTTCTATCAATGATGATCATAACAAGTAAAACAATTTTATACAGTTCTTGTAAGAAACTAAAATATACTACACTCAAAACAGCACAATGTCTCAGCAAAATTTATATAGCGAGCAGCATATGATATATAATATATACACAAGGGTTAATTTTCTAAATATGTTACTGCCCGTCAAGGCAAGGTAGCTATATTTTTCTCACGAATTAAAAAAAAAAAGATACACCACCTGTACATGCTTAATATTTACAATCACATGCATGTGAAGCTTTTTGAATATGCTAATAAATATGTCTTCTTTTTGGTCATTAATATAATTTTTAAAATTCACTGCAATTTACAACTCCAGAGCCCCACATCCTAAAAAATTTGCCACTGTAAGCTTTTGTCTACTTAGCCTTTTTACAAATCTCCCCCTTGCATACGGATTAGAATACAGTTAACAAAAGTATATTTAAAGACACAATAACTAGTACAAAAGGTGCATATACAACTTGAATTTTTATAATTATCAATATCAGACTTTGATGTTACGACAAGCATACGACAGCTATCAACCTGAATGGAAGGATGCTCTTATGAAGGATCTTTATAAAAGAAACCGACTCGATTCACAGTGCATATGGGGAAAATTACAAAATCTCCCATACAGCAAACCCATCCACTGGGATTTAAACCTGAGTCAAAATAGCAGTGTGCAGCAACTTACCACTTATCTGCTGGCAAACACCAAACCTTTAGTACCTTTTTGAGAAAGCTTAATCCCATTTTGGACTGCAGCAGTAAATCGCATATTTCTCATTTTGGCACTGCTTTCAACACACTTTGGCACTAACACATAGGAAAGGTTTGCAAAGAATACAAACCCTCACAATTATATCTCTTGTATCAAAGGAGTCAAGACTTTTAAGAAGATATTTGACTTTTATATGAAAACCTCAATAAAGTGCTAGCCACTTAATGTTGGAAAACTATTAACCAAGCAGGATGCTAGTTAATATCTGAGTTACATAAGTAACACAGATATTAAAAGGGAGGTCAAAAAATCTTTACCTTATATACATAATAGTATTGACAACATCAAACAAGAAGTGATTTTGCATTACAGCTTAGTTTTATTGCATCCATTTTTGTCAGAAAATTAATTTAATAAACCAACTAGTAACATCAATGATATACAAGCAATCTACAAATACTACAGCAGTAAATGCCTGAATCAGTTTAGCATACTTGGCTCCAATTATTGTCTAAGCATTCAGAGAAATACCAATTTAGTAAACATGAATTTTGTGGAATGCAATTTTAGCAAATCATCAAATAACTTTGTATGATACTATGAATTATACAAACAATGCATCCATAAACAACAGCATAAATTTATTAAACATGCATACTAATATTGCACTATATGAAACTGCAGAAAGTTTCAAAGCACAATATTAATAATTACAGAAAGTTGCAATTTACAGCTTGTAAATAGCTCAAAATGCAACCAAAGTTTTAAAATTAGGCAGCCGTAGGTTAATGGTAGGTTAGAGAAAAACTCTTAACTTCAAAAGAGGCTGACATAAGACTTCCTTCTTCAAGAAGCACAAATATTTAATGACATTTTGCCAAAAATATGTTACTTATGCACATAAGAGAAAAATAATTGTAGAAGCAATGACTATAGTACGATCTACTGAACAAAATAAGAACAGAACAATTTAAAATTGTGAAGTACATTTTTTGGAATATTTTTAGGAAAAACTCAACAAGAAAAGTTTAATCATCAACTATTTAAGTTGATATATTTTGATGAATGGCTGATAGGTTTTGATGATTTGGGCTTCATAAAAAACTCTTAACAGCTTTTGGCCAAATTAAGTTTCAAAGGAATGGTTTTAGATAATGATTAACAATGGTTTTCTCTTTATTGATAACCAGATCACATTTTCTAACTCGAAATTTAAAGGCCTTCTTAGAGTAACTGATGCATTCTAAAATCATATTCAAAGAAAATTTTTGGCAACAGCGGCAATAATTTCGCGCCATTTGGCGAAATGATAGAAAACTAACAACAGTTTAAGAGTTCCCCAGTTCCAGTCGGTGCCATTATTAACCCAGATTTTTCTGAAACATACGGAATTACGTCACGCCCATTTTGATCTTATTAGTATCAGTGCCGCCGTTACTGCTCTTCGCAGTTTCGGCCCAAAACAAAAGCTGATTTATTCTCAAATAGATTTGCCGGTTCTTATTTCTGTTGTATTTTCCTAAAGATAATGTTTGTTTGTTTAAAGCACGCGAGGACCGCTACGAATATGTCGAAATCTGTTTCTAACTTCCAAAAGAAGGCCAGCCGTCGTGGTGGGAACTGCTCCCTCTTGCGGAGTTTAATTTGTAACACAACATTCCGAAAGAATACGCTCGTATTTCTGCCAATGGTATTAGTCAATTTAAAAATAAGAGAATTTAAAACTTCATAGAGCAGATGCACTCGCGCTCAGCAAAATGAGTTGCGAAATTATTTCAAACTAGGCTGTTTAAAACAGAAAGAATGAAGTCTTTGTTCCACAAATTGAGAGAGGAATTGAGTTTTAACTGAAAATAACATTAACCCTCCCTAATATTTTAAATGCATCTTAATGTTTTAGTTTTCTTACGAAATTATAAATGCTTGGTAAAACACTAATGTAATTATCATCACAACTTTTTTTATCTGCTTGTAGCAATATTTATTATACATATAACTAACATTTACTCACTGCATAACTTTTTCTTTCATGATTAATAACATGTAACCAGAAGAAAGTCAATATTAATGAAAAATAGAACGGAAGATCTGATTTTTTTCAGTTACCAAAACCTAGACAGTATTTTTAACAAACGATCCAATAAAGTAAATGCGTCTGCCCAATTTTTCAAAATTTCATTTCCAGCTTGCAATCTTTGTGTTGTCAAATAACCAACGGGACGAAAAACGATAAATTAAACGATAAGGCCGCGCCACTTCAGACAAGTGTTTTATTTTTGGCACTTGATAGATAGTTTCGTTCAAACGAATAAAGTCCGTTCACTTGCATCGGCATTTAGAAAACTAGCAGCGAATATGGTGGGAGGAGGACAAAAGATTTCAGCTCACAAATCATTTGCTAATCATCGAGGTCTTCTCGCTTGATAAGCAATTATATTCCACGCAGGGTTAAAAATTTTTTTTGAAAAGTAAAACATAAAAATCAGTTTCCATGACAGCAATAATACAAATAAAGCAGTTTGAAGGGGGGGATTTATTTATTTTTGATTTTATTTTATTCCTTTATTTTCATTTTTTAATTTACTACTCTCTAAAACCACGTTTCTTACCATTCTCCGTCAAAGAAATTTTTGTGTCTCAAAATTACCCAGTAAAATAAAAAAAAAAGACGTTATTTACCTCGGAAGCTTAACGAAATCTAAAACTGACCTATAACTGTCAGGCAAAACTATATTAACCATTAAGGAAAATACGTGCACGCTTGAGGCATCAAGGAAAGGGGGCACCACAAAAATTTTACCATGGAACTTATGATGCAGCTAAACAAAGATCGAGGGAGAGAGAATGGGCGTTATACTGTAGACGTACATGAATCTTCAAACTGCTTAGGGCCTCTGAAACTTTTAATCCGGCCCCGCTGTTGGGGCCAACTTAAAGCGTAAATTTGACTTCCAGGGGCTCAGGTTTTGTAAGGTTGTTGTGATCTCACTTGCAAGCAGAAAAAACACGGCCACACTTAATATCCCTCTTCCGGTCTCTAAGCTCAGTCGTTGACGTTCTCGTTACCGACTACTCCAGATAATCATAGAATTTTCAGCAGTTATTTTCTAAATAATTCAATTGAACGTTATGTGGTAAACCCAAGGCATAAAAAGCTAGTTAAAGTTTTGATAAGACGATTACCATCAGACGCAGACGTGCAAATTATCGCCGAGTCTTCACGTGCATTGGATTATAATATAAATAAGGCCTTCTCGCCTACAAACCGAAAAGTCTGTGGTTCGATGCTAGCTGAAAAAAATTTAATTTTTCACACTCTCGTCAACAGATGGCGCCACTGCAAAAACATAAAAAAACAGCTAGCAGCTAAACAG